TATATATATATAATAAATAATTGAAAAATATTAAAAAATAATGGAAAAGAGTTATAACAAATAGCATATGTAATTTTATGTGTTCTAGGCATTGAAGACAAATGTAAAATTAAATACGAAAAAACTATATCAAGCCGATGGTTATGCAGTAAAAGAGATGTTGAAGATAGCTACACTGTTGTATGACGCGCAGAATAGTAGCAATACTGAACAGAATCAATCGGGCAGTAATCAGAACGCAGTGAATTTCGACATTTCCGATAAAATTAACGAACTGAAAACAACTCGGCAATTAGCAAGCCAATTAACCATCAATGGAGCGGCCCTCTTCGACTTACTTGGTCGAGAAGTGGAACTTCGTGAGATTCGAAATACTAAAATTGCGAGGCAATTTGATACTTCCGAAATAGAAGTAGCTCTAAAAGATGTCATCGAAAACACGCGCAAAGAGATTAGTGAAACGAAGAAGCAAATAGACAATGTTAAAGTAAAATTTTTTTATTTGATAAGATAGTTCTTCAAAATTTAAATTGCTCGTTTGATCTCTACAAAAATATTTCATTACGATGCCACAGTAATTTTATTAATTAATAAATTAATTTATTTTTGCAGGATACAGAACAAAACTTGGATGCAAGAATTGAGAGACGGAAAACGGAACTCGATCGAAATCAAAAGAGACTCCATACATTGAAGAAAGTCCGTCCAGCATTTATGGAGGAATTCGAGAAGCTCGAAATCGAGTTTAGAGCTTTATATGATGATTATTTACAGAAATTCCGGTATCTCGCGTATCTGGAACATTTGTATGAAGACGCAGCTAAGATGGAACAAGAAAGATTCGAAAGACGGTATTTGTCAATAATAAATATTTGAAAACAAGATTTAAAAAATACATATATCATAAATAACATACAAATAAATTATGTAATATTATTAATTTTAATAATAACAGACAAGCTGCAACGAAAAAACAATTGGAACAACTGAGAGCTGAGGACACGAATTTCGAAAGTATGATGGAAGGGAACGATTCTATATTTGCTACGAATCTTCAAGAACCTCTAGTTACCCCCCTTACAAATCCGGAAGCCACAGCGGCAGAAAAACCTGGTCAATCCGGCCATATCAAATCAAGTAACAATTTTTATTAAATAATTCGCACTCTTAAATTTTTTGGAGTAAAATCTTCACTGCAAGGAATTTAGAGAGCATGTTATATGATATTGTAATTTTGAAAATCACTTCCAAATCAATAAAATTTTGGAAAATATAATAGAGATATGTGAAAGAATATAAGTTTTTCTACACTTTTTGGCAATAACAAATTAAAAATGTTCTAGCTACTGGAAGAGCGTCAAAGATGCAATATACTCAGCGACGCATTTACGGTAGCATGTCTGGACGGCAAAGAGGTACGATTCCTGAAAACGATAGTGATGGTTCACTGGATAGCGATAGTGATTTATTGATTGACGGAGATCTTGACGATGATGACGATGAAGATCTTTTAAATTCCGTGGGTGCGACAGATATGGGCAATTATAATCTCAAAACCGATCAAGAAAAACGAGCCGTCAGTAAGATAGAAAGGCATTCGGATGATGATTTTTAATGATATAATGTAATTTCTATCGATTATTCAGGTTAATTTTATATATTAAAGATTAATATTGAATAAAGAAATAAACATTAATTGACACAATAAATAAATTCTAATTTTGATCGTTAAGGCATTTTTTTTTTAGATATATTGTTACATTTTCATATGTGTGATGTGTAACTATACATATATATATATATATATATATATATTTACATTCTCTATACATATTGGTTATTGCGATAAATATTGCCGAAACCTCGGTGTTCAAATTGGGAGAATGCCCACACAGAATACGGAAGATTCGAATTCTGAAGTAATATTTTTCGCAATAAGTTCTGTAGGAGTTTTAAGATATTTGTAGCATCGAAGATCTAAATAAAATTGAAAATCTAATTTAATTTTTGAAGGAATATTATTTTTCAGTTTGATTGTGTTGCAAGTTCGAAAGTAATCGACGCACAATCATCCATTTGAAGTAAATTTATTTAAAATACATATAGATGTATTATTTCATTATCTAACTTTGTTTTAGGCACTTCTCTTAGTTATGACATTTCATATGAGTCTATTTTTAATCTTAGTATTAAAATAAATTAAGTAAATGAAATTAATTAAAAGTAAAAGATTTAATCAATTTTATCGTTTTTTCATTATTGTTATATATACATCTTATCGATTATTCATTTTTAATGCAATGAAGAAATAATAGTATGTATAATTTTTTATTCCTAATTACACTATTTTCTAATGTCATTATTGTCTAGAGAAAACAAACATTTTTTTTTTGTAAAATGTTAAATTATTTTAATAATTTTCAATCTATTCTTATAACAAAACATTTTTAAATCATTATAATATATTTAATATGTTATATATTATTGTTTTTAATTTAAATTACAAAATTTTATAAATTTATTATTATTGTAGTAATATAAAATATATATTAAAAGAGTATTTTTAGTATAACAATTTTTTTCAATAATATAATAAATATGTGCTTTTAACGGTTTTAACTTATTTTCTTTTCTTAAAAAATAATTTTTTAATCCTTATATCGTAATTATATATTAATATTTACATAAATAATTAATTTGGTTTGTGATTTTTAAATAATACATAACGGAAAATTCAAGAAAATTAAAGTACATATTGTCCTAGTATCATATTTATTAATTTCGTCAACATAATTAACGTCGACACATTGTCGACTGTAGTTCAGCACCGATCACATGTATTTATCTTAAGTCTATTTTACATCTCATGTACATGTCATGTACGTACATGTACACATGCGTGTATACACATATATACATAAACTTGCGTGTGCGTAAGAAATATGATGTCTTTATATTAATAAAATATTAATAAATAGAAAGACTTTACTAAACTTATCTGCCACAACAATATTCGATATATTATAACTACCGATTAGTTGCCAGAAATCTTCCCTTTATCATCTCGTAAATTATATTTGTGTAATACAATTACATTTTATCTTTTTATTGAATTCCCTTGTACGGTTTTTTTATTTTTACTATCGATTTATTTGTTTGTATCAACAAAAATTTTGTTATTTATTATATTAAATAATCGCAATAAATTAAATCTCATCACATAATAATCATAGAATTTTGTGTCAGGCAAAATCAATATCTTTCGTTTATCTCTCTAAAAAAAAACATTTATCTATATAAAAAAATTTACATCATGTAAAATTTTTTATAAATTTTTTCGACAAAAAACGAGATGATTGTAAACGCGGAAGAATTGCACAATAATTTATTGTATCACAAAGCTATTTACTTTTATTTACTTTTGTATGTGGATAATAAAATAAAAAGATATAAAAGTAAAAATAAACGAATTCATTTAAATCTTAGATTAAATCAAATTTATAAAATCTTTGGAGATTTTGAAAAAAATATCACATACTTTTTTTTGTTTAAATAAATTTGTGAGATTTTCAGCGTTAGATTTCAGAATTTTCAACGGATTGCATCTGAAGTAATATTTTTCGAGAGTACGCTGTGTTCTAGGCTGTGTGTGTCTGTAGATTTAATTTCTAACAGTCCTAAATACATATTGTACATATATCACTATACTATTTATTGATTCTATGGATATGCATAAGATACATTGTGTGAATTTACAAATATCTAAAAAAAAGGTTTACCCTCGAAATAACGATATAATAGGAATAATATCTAATGTTGCTCACCGTTTATCACCAACTGCTTTTTTTTAGCCCGTCCGTTTTTTTTAGGCCTTCCGTAACAATCTTTCTTAATGAATAATAGAATTTATCGCAAACGATCACATTTGCTGCACGAATGAAAGAATTGTAAGATACAGATACAAGAGTCCGTATAAAATCGTAAGAGAGAAATACCACCATGTGGTGTCAAACTCGATAGACTTGGCAGGTTGTCCCCAAATTTCGCTAATCGTTCCATCATGTAGAAAAATATGATTAATTCGCGTCTTGTTTCTTTTTTTTTCTTTTTTTTTCGCAATTTTTATTATCTCGCTGATAAGCGTATTCTCCTGCTTCGCAAATTTAAAAACACGATTCAGTGAGTTTCATAAAAAAAGACGGGAGTTCGCTTAGCTCAGTTTGAGAAGACTATGGACCGCCGTAGTTGTAGAAATAGGTCCTCGCGACTTTCGGCGTACCAGTGAAATTGCCAATGTCCCACAAAATTTCAACGATGGTTTTTCGCTACCTGACCGATTTGTCGAGTGGGTTGGCTTTGATTCGAGGTGTTAATGCCGGGACCGGTTCAAGTTCTGGAAGCGAGCATTCGGCGCGCAATTCCATCCACGTCTTATCGACATTCGTCGCAAGTCGATCTCTGTATTTATAGGCCGTTCTATCGACCGTCGATTGTGTCTTGATGCAGTCGTCACCACCAAACTCGCAGACACGGTAATGATGCAAGATGGCGGCATCGGAGGGTACGTTCAGGGTTCCATGACCAGGAATAAATTCCCAGACGAAGTGATTGCCCGCTTCCACCACATCTTGTGGTTTACAGATGTATTTGGAGCGTTGCTTGTGTGGATGCAACTTGGTCCTGCGCCGTGTTTTTTTCAGAGTAATCAAACCGGCTTCGGTGGGAGTACGGCTAGTCACCACGAAAGGATCATCGGCCCATTGTAGGTAGAAAAAGGCATTTTGAAAGGAAAATGCACCAGTTGACTTGATGTTGATTCGATTTCCCATCCATCTAGAAACAATTATAAGATTGTTTTATATTTATAACAGATTCAAGTTCATAAAGATGAATTATTTATAAGGAAATTAATTCTTTAGCCACGTAAACACTTTATCATGATACACAAAATGTGAAATAAATAATTATTTAGCTTTATAAATTATTAATTTACGACATTGTTATTTTATATTTATTTATTTAAAACTAATAAATATGATTTTATAAATTTGACGATTCCGGTGATTCTAATGCATAAATTTTTCAACCTTTCTTCCAAATATACTACATATTTTATCTTTTAAGTGTCAATTGTATTATATATGATGTACATTAAGGTCACGAAACTATCATGTATCATACCGTAGCAGATCGATTATAGTGTCATTATGCCTCGGTATAATATACTCGTCGAGATCTACGAGCGCTACATACTCGTATTTGTACATAGATCGGTAGAGGCAATCGTTAAGTGCCGCAAAAAGACCTTCCGTGCGAATTTCCCGCTGGGAAATCATGTCAAGATGATGCCATGGTAACACTGTAACCAGATCCTTGTTCTCATAATATTTTAACGCACAGCCGGCCGCTGCGCCTACAGTATCGTTATACAAAGTGACGTGAGCAGCGCCCAAGAGTCTATGCAACTCGATAAATTCCACCAATTGCAAAACCTATAAATATAAATATCGAACAGATTTTATACGTTAAAATATGAGATATCTCGTAATGCATTCATTTCTCCATGGAAGTACCCGTTATAGTTTTCATAGAATAATAAATAGAATAATAAATAGAATCGATTAATGAGCTTGTTTTATCTAGCGTTTTATAAATACACAATTATATCGCCAGATTGCAAAGTGCATACAACAGAGAAATATTGAAATTATAATTTATATTAGTTACGATAATATCAAACATATTACGTAATATAAATTAAATTTGAATTACACACAAAATCATATTTCACTAGAATTATATACATTATTTTATTATATTTACCTTTAAATTAGTTCTATTTAACATAAATAATTACAAAATAAAAGTAAGAATATTTATATTAAGTAGAAAATATTTTCATTCTATTAGATTAGAAAAAAATGTAAAATGTACGAAGACGACAATAATAAAAATTCAATGTAAACAATAAATTTAAATAAATTACATTGAAAAAGTGTGAATAGGAATAAAACACAAAAATAACAAGCGAATAAATAAAACATTGTCGTATAGATCTATAAATTATTTATTGTACATTAAGAATTATAGTTATATCGCAGGTATAAGGATCATCAATTATTTAATTGATGATCCTTATGCTAATTATACGAACAACATACCCTATTGTAATAATAATGCAAAGGTTTGACGCAAACAGCCAAAGCTTCCTTGGCGTTTGTCCTGCTTTCGAAACGATTCTGTACAAGGATGCGATTCGTCGGAACCGCTCTCAGTCTCGCTACGACACTGACCGCTTCCGGCACCTTATCCGTTGTTGGGGATTCTTTAGGTAACGGACATATCACGAAGCAGGCACTGTACTTGAGATTCCAATTCTCCCGAATCACCTGAAAGTAATGATGCGCTCAAGACACATCGGATTATTTCAAATATTAGGTGTAGTAAAAAGAAATCCATTATTTTTGCATGCAATTGAATGAAAAAATAATGGATTTCTTTTTACTACACTTAATATATAATGAAGATTTTTCTTATTAAAAACAAAAAATTATTGAAATACCTTGAATATATTTCGATATAATATTTTAGTCTTGAAAGTGTTAAAAAGTTTACATAAAGGTTTTGGAACATTTTGAAAACAGTTCTTAATTAAAAATATTTTTGATTTGATTCTCCACAGTTTAAACATAGAAATAAATATTTCTCTCGCTTTATTATCGATAAAATATAGATAGAATGTTTTTTCTAGACCAAATACATAAAATCTATAAAATTAATAAAAACTGTAAAATATATTATACAGACAAATTAACATTAAAATTAATAAATAACATAAGTAAATTGTAAATTATATTTCAGATTATATTAAAAAAAAAATACTTATTTAAAAAAAATAAAATGCATATTTTTATTATGTCATTACTTAACATATCTCTATTATGTCGTCCTTTAATTCGCAAAAGGTTGATCCGATAAATTTCAAATATTTTTCTGTGTTTTCTTTCTAAATGCAATATCATTTTTATGTCATAATTTTCAAAAGGCTTTAATTTTTTTGTATAAAAATAAAATTATTTTATTACAATAAAAAAAGGTTTTAATTTTCCTGTTATTAAACTGTATTTTATTTCTTTTGTTTTGTTTTAAAATTTCCTTGTGGAGTTAATTTTCCTAAGGAGTTAATAAGTCAAACTTTTAATACATACACATATATAACGTACAGTTAATAAACTAAATTTTCATAAATACTTTCAAAACATCTGCTATATCAAGGTAACTGAAGTATTAATATTAAGATGATATTGCGGCGTTGTTCTTTAGAGTTTGTTTGAAATAGTTAGATAACTCGAAACAAAATTGTTTCTCTGGGATGAGCATACCTTAACTTTGGCAGCGACCGTTACCGAGATAGTGACGTTTGCACCGTTTTGCTGTCGATACCAGAGCCTACACCAAACACGCTCCGGTCCTCTGGTTTTAGTAGCGCTAATTACACGTACTACACCCTGACTCTTACCAGCCGGCGTACCCGCGCCGCTAACTCTGTTGTCGAAATATGCCGAATAAACGAAAAATTTGAACCTAGATCAAATACATATCTCATTATTTCTGTTCAACTATGTTCAGAATATACATGAGGCAATTTAACTTCTGATTAAATCTTTACTCATGCGGCGTATATAATCTAACGTGCAAAACTTTAGAATAAAATTAAAGTAGAAGTTTAAGCTCAGCTGACCCAATTTGAATTATTTTATTTAGTCTATTAGAAATGTTTTATTATTATAAGAATTACCAAAATCATGTGATTTTAGCTTAAACGGACGTGTTTAACATCTGTTTATTTTGTAATGTGAGTACCATATTTATTGCTAGCACTCTGAATATTGATCTTAGGAAGTAAACAAAATATGCACAAGGCTATGAGATGATATCACTACGTTCGTAGTGATATCAGACACACGTTGTTTTGAAACGATTCGTCAACACATAAGCTGCGTTTGCAACGGATGCTCACGCGCTGTAAGCTTCATTCTATATTTATCATTCACTATTCATATAAGGAAGGAAGATAGAATGAAGTATACAACACGTGAATACAGCACGTGAATATAGCACGTGAATGTCTAAAGCGTACGCAGTTATAGATAATGAAAGACTCCAGTGGTGTTGTTTATTTTATATTGTAAAATGCTGTAAAAATTGGAAGTGTATTAATAATTATTGGAGAGCGTGGCAGAGCATACAGCACTGATTTGCTATGAAATTCTGGATTCGATTCCTGATAAAACCAAAAATATTTTCATAAGCTCGTGTCTCCTCTCGGAAGGAAATGACAACTCACCGAAAATATCTTTGCCAAGAGCACTTCTCTAATAAAATTTTGTCGTTCGGAATCGATGTTAAACTGTAGGTTCCATACACTATGTACAACCAGCATGCGCACCACAGGCATGAGAGAAGTCACCACGCTCGCCACCACGGCCACGAGCAATTGGATTGAGGAGAACTAATTATTGAGTGTATGTTATCTCATTTGTAGTGTACATTATTATACTTTTCGTTAATTCTTTTCTGACAAAATGAACTGAATCAACTATGACAATTCCTCTTGAAAGAATTACTAAAAATTCATAATTATTGCACTATTTGTAATGCTTCAAGAAATCTAGCAGTATTATTAGGAACAGGTGAAATTTAATATATTTAGCAATAGAAGTATAATTATTCAATGAAAAGCGAGATGTTGCAAAAACCGTTGAGAATGAACGAATAAAAGCTTAGGCAAATAGATCCGTTCAACATCTGATTTCAATAATTCTTATAATAATAACACGTTTCTGATAATTTACAGTAAAATTTAAATTGAACTTTATAGACACTTCTTACTTTTAAAATAAATTGCCTTTCTAGAATCCTATGTGCAAAATTACAAAATGTAATTTTAAGTTATAAAATAAATAACAATTAATTTGATTTGATTTGATTATCATAGTTTTGAAGAAATTTATATTTATATAACAATCAAAGCAATTCATGTTTTTTAATAAAATGTTTTAATAAAATGTTTTTAAATAAAATTTTAATAAAATAGACAAATAAAAATTATTTTATTAATGCTTTATTTTTCACCTTAAAGTATCGGATTAATAAGGATTTTTTAAATTACTTGATGCAAAAGTATAAAGAATTATTTTGAGTATTTCCTTAAGGAGCAATAACATTAATATTGAACAACACAACTTAAAACAAAAATTTATATATTGTACGGTTAGGTACAATTAATGCAATTTCATAAAACTGAAATTAAAAAAAAACTACAACTTCTTGATTCAGTTATCGCGCACAAATGAACGAACCTCGTATTAGTGACTGGCAACCATTCAGCATGCGTAACTTTTAGGTTCTGATCCAACTGTGGTAAACGAGCTTCCAAGCTGGGCGGTAAGCTCGGTAAGCCACGTGGATCCGGGTGTATTACTGTCTTCTGTCCTCCGTTCTCCCCGCGTACCAGTAACCCGACATGCTCGTCAAAGCTACCCTTCAAACCGACGTAATCTTCGGCCTAAAGACATTAAGATTACTTAAGTGTTTTCTAAAGTTTATACCAATTTAATGTGAGCTATACATTGATGTATGACGCATGTTGGTAATACTGCAAATAGTTTTAACATTCTATCCAGCTTGAGCATCCAATGTAATAATTATTTATACGACCTAATATAATTATTTTTTTATCAGTATCTTAAATTTTGAAATGCTTCAATAAACTGTTCTTTCCGTGAATATTTATATTTAAGAAATAATAATAAAATATTATATATCCCTGTAAAATATCACCACATATCGCGAATTTAAAAAGAAAAAAAAAATTAATTCTCAATTCTCCTAAAAAAATTCTAGCTTTTACGTTTGAAACATTAAAATATCAGATAATATTTTCATTACTTTAAACTATAAAATTTTTTTCTAAGCCAATTAATAGGCACGATGAATAGAACAAGACCTATAAAATCAGTTTGTCTCTTCGAAAAAAATCAAGATTTCAAATTCAAAGCTTCTTAGAACGGTTAACTTGCTAGACGAGTTTTAAAATACTCGGGCTTTTCTCGCAGTATCTCGACGGGAGATGTAAACGGATGAAGAAAGTTCCACGGGATCGAGCAAACTAATTTGTCAGGTGGTCGCTCGCTCGTATCCGGTTAAACTTTTCCACTGCGGTCGTATGTCTTTTCCGAACCACGTTGGGGCGTCGTTCAAGCAAGCTGCTGTGCGGAGCTATTTTTCCTTCAAAGTTCTTGGCGGTTCGCGTGAATCATTGTCCGTACTAGACGCAAAGGGTGCATAAACTATATAGCAAGTACAGATATCGACGAAGGAACAGAAAAGAAGGGGAAAAGAAGAAGCGTATGCTCGAGAAATCGATGTTGTACGTGGTAAATAAAGTTTTCGTCAGTCTTTTCACCTGAGTTTTTTTGCCTTGATACCATTGCTTTGTATATATGTTTGCTTTGTTCGTATTCCTTTGTGAAGAAAGATGAACGTATAAAATCTCATTCCTTATTTTAGAATCCATTCTGTGTCCTTTAACTTACAATAAAAAAAATGTTTCCAGGATAATATGATAATAATAATTACCGAGATAATAAATAATTATAAATAAATTAAAAGAATTTAATAAAAATAAAGAGATTATAAAAAAAATTAAAAATTATAGCTTTAATAATTATAGCTCTTTAATTTATTCAATAAAAATATAAGAATAAACAGTGTAATACTCAAAATAAGAGACATATAAAAATAAGTAAGAATGACGAGATCGCTATTGTGATACTGTATTACAATACAATATAAAATAATATTTTTTGTCATACGCGTATTATTTTAATATATTAAATTTTAATAAGAAAAAACAAACGAAACATTTCACACTATTGAATAGTTCAAAACAATAGTTATATGTGTGTCTGCGAGTGATGAGGAAAATTACCAGATAATATAGAATCTATTACACTATTATATCATAGATGCAAAAGTCGAAATGAATTTATCAGGAAAAGGAAAAAAGCGATTGAAGTCGCGTGCAGAATTAGATAATGCGAAAGTACGTGAATATCGAGACAGCGAGGAATTTTCTTTTTAGATACTTACTCCTATCTCTCCGTAATCTGGACGATCAGGCGCAGCTGGTAATCGATGACCGCTTCTGTGACCCCCGAGTACGCCAGTGCCTCCGATGCTTACGCCGCGCCTCTCGTCGATCAGAAATATTTCCGTGAGAACGATCAAACCGAACACGGCAAAGAACATGACGACCAGCATGAACGACAGGTTGGCACGTTCCTTGAGAACGCCAGCGTTCGCTCGACTCCCGCCAGAACCGGATCTTCTGCTCGAGCCCATACTCGAGGGATGGTTCTGTAAACGACACTTCACAGATAGTCACTCGCGCTCTTCTCATCCGAATCAAACACAAAGAGCCATCGCACGAACATTGCCATAGCATCGTAGTGCTTTATACCATTTTACGTCAGAGCGTAGCTTTGTGTTACATATAGTCAACCGTAAGACATTACGTAAGCAAGTACAAAGAAAACATAGCATAGCTCCTTACCACTCCTTACGCTATGTTCTTTTCTTATATGTTGCTTACGTTATGTCTTACGGATGACATAATTAAGATGACATAAGGCGTTAAGGTAATGTTTGTGCGGTGGCCCGATTTAACTTTGACGACTCAAAAAAACTGATATCAAAACCCACAAGATCTTATACCAAAAATGCTAAAATTATCGAAATATAAACTAAACTATAATTATGAGACGTACTATAGTAAAACAGTATAATTGTAAGTGCTTTTTTTAATTTTTAATTTTTTAATTTTTTAGAAGAAAGAAAAAAATTTATATATTTTTTTTAAACTATCACTTCAAAAATTTTATACAAAATTACTGTAATAACTAAAAATATGCAGTCAATCTCTGCAAAAAATGTAATTAAGTAATTCTAATTTTTAAAAAATTGTATTAAAGTTGTTAACATTTTAAAACGTTGTAAGTTCAAGGAAAAATGTCAAATACGTAATGGACTTACAATGTTTTGAGTGCCCATTTTCTCCGCTTATATTGGCAACACTTTCCACAAATATTCATATGATAAAACATAGAATTAAAATCCATTTATAAAATAAAATGCATTTTCATAATTTTATTATTTACAACGTTTTATCGTGGTCTTAACTATAAAACATTATTATATATTGTAGATAATAATACTTTGAATGTACACAATTCTCATGTTATAAAGGTGACCATTATTAGATCGAGAATAAACTGCGAAAGTAAGCGAGGCAATCTGCCTCGCAATCTCGTACAAGCAAAACGAGTACGGACCTCAGCACAAAGATAAGATCGTAATCGTGAACCGTCATAGATATAGATCATAGTTGTAGGTTGACCAAAACATTGTGTGTTGACCTACGACTACAACTCCGTTTTATGACTCGGTTATGACCATCTTTATACTGAGACCCTAAAGTGTAAAGACTCGTCTCTACTGAAGCCGATCGTATCTATTAGTCTAGCTTTTTTTTCTTTTTTTTAAATATAAAAGAAGAAAAGAGGCTATATGCCGATCGATACAATTGGCTTCAGTGAGAACAAGCTTTAACAGATAGATAAGTAGCTTAAATCATCTAAACATCTATCGATAAGTTAATTCTCTCTCTATATATTTCTCTCTTTCCTTATAATACTATATATTAATTATATAAAACATTATATACAGAGGAAAGGAGATGATTATAGAATAGAGAGACGAGGAGAATTAGGGAATATTAACAATAAGATATCTAGTTTGTAGTGCATTCTGGAGACGTTCCAGAAATTAAAATTACTTCTTCCACAGTTTGTTTAGACGTTATAATACTTGTGGTCACTTGTTATTACGTATTATAGCAAAAGCTGCATTTTAGTTTCACAAGTGGCAGACAGTTTTATAGATGTGTACTTTTTATATAATTTTGAGAACTACGTTTATATTAATGTAATTTTGTAACTTTAGAGAGTTTAACTCAGAAAATTTTAATTATATTTAAATTTATGTTATCGGTTACTTACTTAAAGTGGTTCCAAGAAAATCGCTGCCAAGCATGGGGATAGTAGCTCCTGGAAATAATTAATTAATTTTCGAAAATTATTAATTTATTTTTATTCAAAATGAAATGTTTCAGATTTATATATTTATTACTATTTAAACCATATTAATCCGCGGAATATCTTGCTATACATAATTTATCATTTTATTATCCATAATGCGCATTACTCATGGAATAAAATGAATTATATTATTAATAACAATTAAAAATAAATTTAATAAAAAACTAAATTCGATAAAATTTGATATCAATAATAAAATCAACAGGCACAAAATAGAAAATTATTTGACTATTCATTTCAGGAAATTCACTGGAAAATGATACTAATAATTAATGATCAATACAATATTCATTTATGATCTCACAATTATATCGAATCCAATTAAATCCTTACGATTACATTAAAGTAAAATTGGAAGCCAATAAAATTTTATTTGAAGTATTATAACATATTGCAAAATCATGCGTCGTTTTGTATTAGATGACTAAACTGTTTTTACGACGCCACTGACTTCCTATCCTACATAACGCAAAAATATCAAGTCGAGAATATTTTAACGGTATATCTGATTAGGTGCTGTCAAAGTCATGATGCTAACGTAATCCTGTAATGTCCAAGAAGATACCGCAGCATGAATTATAGTCTTACGACAGTTGAAATTCTTTACGACTGCATCATGTGCAATAGTAGAACTCTTTAGAGATGAAGAAAAAGGAAAAGATAGAAAATAGTCCCATGCTAATATTCCAAAGTACACATCAAATTTCGTATATATGAAATTATTTTAATCATACAACTATTTCTTTTTATATAAATTTATGTACAATTACTATATCGTCATATTGATGAAACTATCAATTATTTTTTCTATGTAACTAATTTACAAAGATAAGGAATAAGATACGTTATTACATAAACATGCGTAAAATATATAATATATTTTCAACGCAACATATTTAAATTTGCAAATTTATGCTTAATTATCTTTTCGAAATATCAAAACGTTCTTCATTATGGAAATCATAAATATTGTAGATTTTGCTGAATATTATAATATACTAATCCACATTATTCAAATCATTCAGATTATTATTTATTTTGTTTCGCGGAAAGTGTTTTATAGAAAGTAGAAAGAAATACATTTTATGGCACGAATTTATGCTTAATTATCTCCTCAAAATATCGAGATGTCTCTTCATTACGAAATCATAAGTTAAAATTGCAGATTTCGCTGAACATTAACAATAAACGAATCTACATTAGTTTCCGCCAGATCAGATCGTTTCTGGATTATTTTGTTTCGGAGAGCGTTTTATGAAAAGATATACACTCTCCGGTGCGAAGTAGTGTCACTGAAGGTTTACGTTGCAATTTATCTTTTGGGGACAGATTTCGTCGTTTATACGGGACACTTTATAAAGGAGTAAGACAGTCAAATCCGATGTCACGTATATACAAGATGTCTCGGATTTACTATAACATATTTTAAAATCTTGACACTTTATACGAAAAATAGGAACTATACTCGTGGAAGACTTACGAACAAAAACTACAATTTTACTTCACTATTATCGCTTAGCTTTTATCTTAAGTCTCTAACAGACTTTTCGTTTAAAGTTTGCTATCAAAATAGCGTTAAAAAAAAGTTACGACAAATAAAATATTTTGCTATTTTCGCCAATTCTGAATATATATTAGCAGTAAAACTGTAAGTAACTTTTTGCTTATTATACCTTTCTTTCAGATTTGATATTAAAATTATATAAATGAATTGTAACGCTATACTTCTATATTATTTTTTCTAAGCTGAAATTAATAATACAAGATTAATAGATAGATACAAGATAGATTTTTTAGAAAAATTTGTCGTGTATTATCTCATTTTGAAACAATATTAGGAAACTATATCTAGAAAATATTTAAAGAAATAAAATACGCACGTAGAAAATGTATATATATATGTATATATATATATATGTGTGTGTATATATGTATATATATACAACTGCATATGCATCTCCATATTCGTGGGCCACCCGGAGTTCACGTCGAACGCATCAAGAATTTCATGGCCCCAGCATTAATTATTGAGCGATCACTGCTATGTAATTAATTGACCGATCGACCTCCTTCCTGGCAGCAGATATGAAAAATGTGATGCGGCCAGTGCATAACTTCATCGTGTGTGACATTTCTTAGAAGGAATAAAAAAAATCGATGATTTATCGTTGATCGTGTAGCATATGACGAATAACTAACTGTGCATAAAGAAAAAATACGAATGCAATAACATAAATAATAATAATATGTCGGCTGCAATTATATATATGTTCCGTGAACAAAAGTCTAACACGTGAATTAACATGGGAATAAAAGCAATAACCATTCTAATATTATGTGTGCAATTTACATTATTTTAAATTTACATTAATTTTACTTATATTAAATAAATAATTAGAAATTAGCAAGTTGGCATAAATAAAAAAAAATATCGTTATCTACAAGCATTGCGCAATCTATTGGAACACTTCACATTTCTTCATTCAATACCAAATTATAAATCGAAA